TAATGGTCAAAGATTTGACATGTCCTGTGAGTGAGAGAGAGAGGCAAGAAAATTAGTGATCCAGTTAACTAACTATTCTGCAAGAACATGAGAAATTAACTTCTCATCAGTTGCTTGTGTACTTGTATGGCAAGTCCATATAATGATGCATAGGAACTGAAGAAATTAACTCTCAAACGTGTAAGGTTTGCCAAAAATTCGAATGAGGTGGGCAAATGGCCTGTAAAATTATTGAACGACAAGCCCCTAAAGAAAAGAAAATACCATTCTAATGAATTAACTAAAAATGATAACATTTATTTTCACATATGTACCTACGCATGTAACTATTGGAAAAGCCATACATTATTTTCAAATCCTTGAGGCCATTGAACACATCACCAAGGGCCCAACTAAGAAATTGTGTCTCAGATTCCTACAATAAGAATAGTGTGATTTAGAATAAAGAAAAACAAAGTTGATTAATAAGGGTATCCTATTTCATATAAGTAAAAACAAAGTTTTTATCCTACATCGAATAATAGACGCATTGTGCAGCGCGGTGCCACCAGAGATGGTACCGACAGTCGCCAAAAAAGAGACGGCGTGGGTGTTGGGATCTATGAGGATCTCGTTATGTACAAGTTACGAATTCAATAGCAAATGTAAACCTATGCGCAGCGGATCTAAGGGTTTGACGTAGAAAACTTAAGGCTTAAAATTTTCTAAATTTTTCGGATTCGGGATGACCGGGAACAACACACGAATGGAACTGGATCGCATGAACAGAAGTCGGGCCACGTGCGATCGGTCGAGTCGTGTCGCGGAGCCGTGTGGATCGCATCGGGTCGTGTCGCGATCGAGTTGGCCGTGCGTCGCGGGTTCTTGCGGCGGTGATCGGCTGGCTGGTCGTGGCTCGTCGGTGGCAGTCCGGCGGGTCACAGTGGTCGGCTCCAGTGGATCTCCGGTAGAAGATCACGGGGTCTAGATTACCTACGGGATCTTCTACTGTATCACTCTTACACCTTTACACCTCTTCAACTTGTACTGTTGGAGCAACGAGAAGAAGATAAAGCTCGACTGAGATCTGGAGAGAGAGAGAGAGAGATTAGAGGGGGAAGCGTGTATCACGTTAACTGTGATGTTCTATTCTCTTCTCATGATCTTAATGATGTATATATAGAGCTACAGTAGGGATCCTTAGGAGTTTAGAAATAGGGGTTCTTAAGTAATGAACTAACTGTAGGCCAGACCCACTCTTCCAAATACTTAAATAATATTACGGTCCACTAACGTAACATTTTGTGCTTCCTTTTCTTAGTCCAAATTACATTTGAGACTCCAATTATAATTACCCGATTTACCTCCCCACGTTTAAGATATAATGTCCATTAATTAATTCGATTACTGACAATTAAGAATTAATTAATATATTATTTATTTCACCGAAGCTAGCGCTCGTTCATCACATTATTATTATACCGGAACTTAATCCACATGCAGGGTTTAACATAACAATCCTTCATGAACTCACTTTGAGGACATCATCAAACTAACACACATGGTGACCGTAAATATCCTAACAGCACATCATACATACATCAATATTACCCAAGACAGTAGGAATATTAATCCAGCGAACTGAACCTCACCAAAGTGAATCAAAGCAATATGTACTACATATATATGCATGGTTAATATCTTACAGATTAAGAGAACGCAGTAATTAACCGAGGCCTAGTTCGTTTACGACGATCAGTATAAAACAAACTTCTACTCTCTGGGATTCTGTTCAATACATAAATGTACTAGTGCAACTAATAAGCCAAGACCAGCTGTACTGTTGACACTATAATTGTTCGGATGGGGTGTTCATTTCCATCTAGGTTGTGAACCATAATTCTTGTTGAATGATCTTCTGTTCGCCCGATGATGACCCATTCTATCTAAGTGCAAAACAACAGAACATAGAACTTGTTTAATCAAACATGATTCTCATTCATAAATGGTAAAAGTGTAATATCATTCAAAACCAAGCTTTCAGTATATAACACTAACAGTGAGAGGCCTAGGATGCGACCGAGACCATGAGGGTGGGGATGACCGCGTTAGGTGGTCTACGACGCAGTAGCTACGTCGAAAATTTGACCTCGTCGCTTTTGAAGATGGCAAAACTGTCGAGGAATATGCGCTGCACTTGAACGGCATGGTGACACACCTCGCCACGCTGGACGGGGAATTGGAGAAGAGCGAGATCGTTGCGAAGATTCTCAAAACTTTTCCGCCTCGGTTCAAAAGGATCTCAGATGCAATTAAGACACTGGTTGACGTGTCGAACATGACAGTCGCTGAACAGACTGGGCGACTGAAGGAGACAAAGGGAGGGTATAAAGAAGCTCCGGCTTTGCTGCAGCATGAGGGAAAACTGTACCTCACAGAGGAGGAATGGGACGCGCGACGAAAGAAACGCGAGGCGGAGAACCATTTCGGCGGCAACATAAGAGGTGGCGGCAGCGCAAACAGAGGTGGCAGGCGTGGGCACGGTCGTGATCGCGGAGGTTCATCGTCTAGCGGGCCGTCAAATTCACACTGGCCCACTGACGATGATTGGAGGCGTTGTGGGAATAAAGGCCATTGGGCCCACGTGTGCTGGTCGAAACCCAAAAAAAACACAGACGCATATGGCGCAGGATGAGGAGGAGGTGTCACTCATGCTCGCGAAGTACTCTCCCTCCTTGTCCCCACTGCCGCCACCAACCTTCGAGGGTGCATCGCAGGCCGGGGCATCGGTGATCGGCTCGTTAACACTCCAGGGTGCCGGTACTCGTCAATGGATATTTCAATTGTATAGCTTCCATTATAAAATTTCAACAAAAATATTATGTTGGAATGAGTTTTTCATTTAAATTTTAGTTCAAACTTGACGACTCCAACGACCATTTTTTGATGGTTTATTACCGTAGGAATTTCAGTTGTAATTTTGTTCTTCTTTTCATGAGAAAAAAATACCTCTTTATCAATTTGATATTTTGAGTTCATATGAGTTTTCAATTTAAAGAGCCATCTACTTTTTTATTTTTTTTTTTCTAAATTTTTTGCTTAATATATGAATAATTTGACTCTTTTAAATAAAATAAAATATAGTTTAGAATCTTAGTTTTTTAAAGATTTTTAAGTTAGGTCATTTTAATAATTAAACATTTTTTAATTATTTAATTACCCTAATAGCACAGGTAAAACGCAGGTGTTCTTCTCCAAGGTCGTTGATGAGGCCAACCAGCAAGAATTGGCCGACTTGTGCGGTTTCTCCAGAGTGACTGACTTAGGACACTGTCTAGGAATCCAATTTTTCTGGTATTCTGGAAAAGGCGGAGGGACGGTTGGCAGATTGGCAAGTTGTGTCACTATCGACGGCGGGTCGTGTAACTTTAGAGCATCTCCAATGTAGCTTTTGACATTATAAAAATTCATCCATATCATCAACTTTTAAAAGTGTGTTACTAATTTGTTCTCCAATACATCTTGTCATGAGCTCTTTCATGATGAGGTGGATAGCATTTAATGTTAATGTTGAGCACACTTTCTAATACCTAACACCATGTTAAACATGATGACTAATCAATTCACTTTATATTTGATTTAATTTCTTATTGTTCTTGTATTAATGATTAATTTAATTGGTCCACCTATACAAATAACTTCTTATCAAATTGATGCATTGGAAATACTAGTTTGATTCAAATTTCTACTCTTTTAACATTATTCCTACATGGATTAACATTACAATCATTGATTGACATGTGTTAAAAATTATTATCTTTCAAAGCTATAGCATTGGAGATGCTCTTAGCTCAATCGGTTTTGAGTTCCCTGTCATACTATTCAACTAGTGTGTACCCCGTGCGATGCACGATAACAATATTAAATTAATAATATTATAAATAGACGTCGAGTTTGAGTCACTCAATGGCGGAAGTGGAAACTACTATTGATCATATTTAAAAAAAAAAAAATTATAAATTAAAGAGGAGGATAAACAATATTTAATAATTGTAAATTAAAGATTCGGGGTCAAACAATGACAAACTATTTTGTATAAGAGAATATAAAAAAATTTGATTACACACCATTTCAAAATGATTATTATACTTTTTTGTATGGTTAGCTTATAATATTTGTAAAAATATTAGTAATTAAACCGATGAAAATTAGCTTCTTAATGTAGATAATGGATTTCTATTAGTAATTATGAATTGGTTTCTATTTTATTTTATTTTTTCTTTTTAAAGATAATGAATTTCTAGTAGTAATTAGATAATGGATTTCTATTAGTAATTATGAATTGGTTTTTATTTTTTTTTTTAAAGATAATAGATTTTTAGTAGTAATTATGAATCGGTTTCTATTTTATTTTATTTTTTCAAATCTGTATATATAAGGGATGAGATTTTTTAAACACGTGAGACGTATGCAATGAGATTTTGTAACAGAAGAGATAAACTCGTGTAGATTTATACTAAAAATAGGAAAAAGAAAAACAAATATTTATCGTCAAAACAACGGTTTTGATAAACTAAAAAAGGAAAAAGAGAAACAAATTTTTACACAAGCCGATTTTTTTGCTTATTCAGATTTGTCCAACAATTACTATATATAGGATATATTTAATGATTTTGGCGGGAAAAAGTTTCTAAATTTATAAAAAGATTATTCTTTTTATATAATGATAGATGCACACAATTAGCTTACCGGTGGCTGTGTGCGAAGGAGTAGACAAACTTTGTCGATCGTTTGTGTGGGGGTAGGCCGGCTACCCGACATGGCTTGAACCTGGTCCCGTTGGGGGATGTTTGCATGCCCCGCGAGTGTGGTGGGCTGGAACTGAAAGATTCCCAGCTGATGAACGACGCACTTCTAATGAAATTAGGTTGGACTCTCTTATCCTAACCTAACTCCTTATGGGTGCGGGGTATTTTGTGCTAAGTATAAGTTCGACTCATTTACGATGCTTAGTACACGGGTGTTGTAATAGTTGATTTTATATATTAATAGATTCAATCATGTATAATAATACGTATATACTATATATAGCAGTGTTATGATCTGTTTAACATACAGGAAAAATACCTCGCCTTTACAAGACCAAAAAATCAAAAGCCGAAAAAACTAAATAAAAAATTGAAGCTACACCTAAAAGTGTTACGGATCTGTTTGGTCATCCCCTCAACTTCAGGCCCAACCTGCAAATTTCCTCGGGTCCAGGCCCATCCCAGTGGGCCGTCCGTCTCTTCATTCTATCAAATCCATCAATGCATCGGCCCATATCCAAAGCCCCAACTTTCTTCCTCGCAGAAGCCAGTTTTTCCCCAGCAACCTTATCAAACAAATTTTCCCACCCATTTTCCCACGTACTGTGTGCATCACAAAGCTCAAGTGTGTTTCCAGCCCACTCAGTCCAGCTCCACCCTTTATCAAGCCTATTCATGATAGGCCCAACACAAGATCCAGTACATACGGGCCTGCAGGGCCTACACTTGGCACCACTAAGTGGGCCTGAGCTAGACAGCGCGGCCACAGGCACCCCAAAACGGGCCGGAGGAAACGCATATTCACGATCTGTAACTATACAAAAAGGGAGAGGCTTAGTAGTGAATTGGACCTTTTGGGTGGTGAGTTGGGCCTTGAAAGCAGCCTCCGAGTTGAGCTGAGTCAACCCAGCCGAGTCGAGCTGAGGGATTAAGGAGAACCTCGAAAGTGCTACTACTGATGTGTTGTAATCTCCCACTCCAAATCGATCATTAAGGCCGCCGTAGGACGAGCCTGGTGGAATTACATATTGGCCCGGAATGAAGTTTTCGGGCCCCAATGGTCCAGACCAGTAACCATCAACTCTTGTTCGGATGACCCAATCATAAGTGAAATTGTTCTCTTCTTGGTAGTCTTTGATCATTTTTAGGCAGCCCTCTACCAGATTGAAATACTGCAACAAGCCCTGCAAGAGAGTAAGGGACGACGACAGGTTTAGTGGATGAAATTACCAATTTGCCCTCAGATGAAGTAGGTATAATTAGTTAACTACAAAAAAACTTGTATCACTATGACATTAAAAAACTTGTATCACTATGACATTCGTTTTAACAACGGCCATATGCCCCTCTTGATGAACAAAAAGCAAGCTACTTGGAATTTGTTTTATAATTAAAAGCAGGATGTGAATAGTTTTCTAATCAACCTAATAAAAAAGTATAATTATTTAGCACATGGGTAGCACAAACCACATTTAAAGAAAGTATTACCATTTCGAATAGAAAATAAATGCTTGTTAGCGATCTGCACAAACATAAAGTATTTACCAAGGTTGTCAAAACCGGACCGGTCATCGAACCGGTCAAGCTACTGGTTCAATGATTCACTGGTCCGACCAGTGATTGAACCGGTTGGACCGTTATTTAATTTATAGATATTTTTAAATATATAGATATATATAATATTTCATAGATATAATTAACTTAATTTTTAAGTTATTTAATTTAATGATATTTTAAATATATAATACTTTACAAATATTAAATATAGTTGACTTATTTTTTAAAAGGTTGGTCCCACCATAGATAGATTAAGCAATAAAATGATAGTACAAAAAATATGGAAAAAAAAAAATATTTCCTCACACTCCCACATTGGGCAATAAAATAATAGGAAATAAAGATGGGATATGAGAAAAGAAATTTCTTCCACACGCACGTAAAAGGAAAAAGAAATTTCTTCCACACCTGGCTTTAATCCTTTACCTTTACAATTAAAAATTTGGAATTCTTACATCTTGTCCTACATCGGTAACCATAAAAGATTAGTTGCTTTATAAAAGTGTTAGAATTTATACATAATATTATCTGACCCGATTGGCAAAAAAAAAAAAAAAAAAAAAAAAAAAAAAAATTGACGGGTTGAACCAACCGGTTTTGGCCGGTTCGACCGGTCATTGACCGGTTTTGGCCACAGCAGGTTTCTTCCATTGAACTGTACCGGTTAATTGGCGGGTTCCCCGGTACAACCGGTCGGACCGGCCGGTCCGGTCCGGTTTTGACAACTATGCATTTTACCCAAAAATGAGTTAATAGTTTCTTTTACACACTATATATTCAAAACACTTCTTTTTTCACATCATATCGTGCGAAAAAGATCGCACAATGAACAAATTATATGCATGATCGCACAATGGTTGCACAATATGGGGTAAAAATCATAACTTTTCAATTGGCTTGGCAGGGTGAAAAACTTAAGACAACCACCAAAGTTATGGATCTTTGGAAAGAGAAGAAGGCATGGCTGCACAGAAGATTTAACTGATGATTAAACAACATTTTGATAATTAATGCAACCTAAAATCACGAACGCATGCATTATTCGTCTATCTACCTGTCTTTCAAAAATCAAAATAATGCGATGCAAAAAGGGCAGCAAAATGGCTTATGATAATCCGATAGGAGGTCTGAAGACAAATCATATACGGCGATATTTTCTAAAGATTTTGGTGTTTCTAAAGACCCTGATTTATCTTCCCTGATGTTTTGAAGCAATTTCCCTTTTTCCAAAACTGAGATATTGTTATTGGCTTATTGCCTACCCAAATTCCTAAGTTAACATCTCTCTCTCTCGTCCTCTCTCTTTCACACATACAAACTTCAATAATCCAACCAATTGTCTAATCTAGAATAGTGAAAGGCAATTTCCAGCTCTTGACTCGTTCAATCAATCAATTTTAAGCAATTAATATATACCAAAAAATTCAAACAAGGCAACTAAATCATCAAGAAGTTTTTCAAAACTAGATATAGCAACCAAACTTCTAGTGAACCACAATGACAATGAAATACTATCCAGAAAAGGGCTGGAAATTTCAGCATGAAAGGAACCCAAGAAATCATGACCAAAATTCAAAACATATGCAGGGTTGAATTAATGCCACCAGCTCCAAAAATATATTATATACCTAAAATCCACAATATAGAGTACTATTTAGGCCAAATGAAACACACAATATGCAATCATTATTTTAAGAGAATCACACAACCCCTCTTAATTATTATTAGTCTCTTAATGTGTATTTTTGGTAGCTCAATTGGTTCACCATTATGAAAATGTAGCATGACTCAAGCTCATACCAAGAGTTCCAACGTGTTCCCAATAACAATGCAAAACATTTGATTTAACCATGGCCAAATGCGCCTCTTGATGAACAAAAATCAAGGTACTTGGAAATTTTTTTATAATTAAAAGCAACATGTGAATAGTTTTCTAATCAACCTAATGAGAACTAATTGGGCACATGGATAGCACAAGCCACTGGGCACTGGGTATAAAATAAATGCCATGTTCAAATGTCTATGGGGAAATGATTTATTTGGTAAAATATAAATAGTGATCTGCAGCAATAGACGTCTCACAGAACGAAATCAAAAGTCCAAGTTGCCAACTATGTAATTAATTATGTATTATAAGTCAAACAAGATAGTGATCTGCAGCAACAAAAGTCTTAGAAAATTAGTAAAAAACCAGCCAATTGCCTGATCTAGAATAGGATAGACAATATCTACCTCTAGACTCATTCAATCTATCAAATGCCAAGCAATTAACACATTCCATAAAATGTCAAACAAGCCAATTTAATTATCAAGAAGCATTTCAGTCTAGATACAGCCACCTAACTTCACGTGAAACCCCAATGGACCACAGTGAATTACTATACAGAAAAATGATGGAAATTTCAGAATGAAAGGAACCCCAAAAAGCATGCCCAAAATTCAACACATATGCAGGGTCAAATAATGTAATACGAGCCGTGAAGTCTCAAGTAGACCCCAATGGCCAAACGCACATAAGCCAATGCCACCAGCTCAACAAAATATCATATTCCTCAAATCTTGCATCATTTTGTTCTAGAATACCAAATGAAACACAATATATGATCATTGTTTCAAAAAGAATCACATAGCCTCTTAAGTATTAGTCTCTTCTCAGCTTCCTAAGTTTTTCTTCCACTGAGGCCCTTCACAAGCATAAAGTACACTGTATACAGCATTTAACCCTGACTCTGTGAAGATCCTGATCTTCGCACATTTTCTGCTGAATGTTTGGACTAGAAAATTGTCAACCTAATATAACTGCTACCGTTTCTTTCAAATATCGCTGGAGGATACAACAATCCCACCAATCTATACCTAATTTGCCTCCACAAATGCTAAAACATCTTTTTTGGCAAAACGTTTAATATGCCAGAAATCAACATCTAAGAATGGGAACTCAATGATCATCAATTAAGATTGCTTTACCAAAATTAAATGCAACAAACTCCTATCAAAAATCAAATGCAGTAAAAGGGAAAAACATGGTAGCCTTACTAAACTTTTAAACCCAAGTCTATGTTCGACACTGTTAATCCAAACTAGGTAGTATGTGCACCTGTATACCGTTGGGCGAGTTGGCAGATGTCAGAACCCGGGCCTCCGACTCGGTCTCGGGTATGGGTTCGGGTTTAAATATCCTGACGGCAGCAATCCTCGGCGCATCGTTTAACAGCAGAAGCTTGTAAGAGTTTGCATCCAACGGGCTGTGGAGAAAAAGATCCGAACTTTCGTGAACCCGGAGGATCCTCTCCACGATGGACGGGCCGGTGAGCTCGAACCGGCGGGCACCGCCCACCAAACAAACGGCAATTCTCGACCCGTTTGGCCGGCCCTCGGCTCCGTCAGGCGGATGGCCGGCCGGGGCAAGGTCGCGAAATATGGATTTGAAAGGGGGGACAAAACGGCGGAGAGAGATGGATAATGATGCGGCGGAGGAGGCGGAGGAGGCGGAGAGAGAAACGTAGATGAGAAAGGTGACGGAAAACAGGAGGAGAAGCAGGAGTTTCCAATCGAGATCGAGAGCCCGTTTAGGGAATTGGGTCAGGATATTTGCCGGGTTTTTCATTCTTGATTTTACAACAAAGATGAATTATAAAATAGTTTATGTTATTTTGGCAATCTTTAGTTTGTTAAAGATTTCGGTGGATTTGGCAACAAAGAGAATCTCGAATAGTCGAATGGGATGTTCCAAGGTTTTTTCTTGGAATACTCGCTCTGGTTTTGGTTTCTACGGTTTTATGGATGTTGGTTGAAGTTTTGAATGGGAACTTTACTTGCATCAACATTTGAGGATGTTAGTTGGGAGTGGGCTTATCGTGTGTATTTGTGTCATATTGTGTGTATATGCGTGCTTTAGTTATGATTTTAAATTGTGTGAAAGTGATTACAAGAGAGTTGAATGATCAAATGCATGCCCAATATATGTGGCTTTTCGAAATGCTCCTAGACAACTAAATCTATATATATATATATCTATATCTATATCTATATCTATATCTATATATATATAAAGAGGTTGATGGAAAAATCAATTATAGAAAGTTGTAAAAATTTAGTCAAATCTTTTGACTTACCACTTATGGAAATTTAATTCAAAATTCAAATGTTGCATATGCGCATGTGTGTGCTACACAAGGTTTGGAATAAACTACTTTCCCTTTTTTTCGTATTTAATTTTTAGATCAGCTTCCGAAAATTCCGATTTGAACATTTTCAAAGATTTGGTTTATATATTAACCATACTTATCAAAACCAAATCTGAAAAATATCATATTTTCATTGAGTTAAAGAAAAAAACACGTGTCAATTTAAAAAATAATCGATTTCATTATTTTCAAAAACTCTTTTAAATACTTTAACAATAATTAATCATGTAAAATAGATCATTTTTTCTGTTAATTAAATTTAAGCAAATTTAAAGAGCGTAAGCAATTTTAAAGGCTTATATATATAACAATCCATGTTTCTTTCCGATTACTTTAAATCTAAATTTACAAACATGTCATTTTTTTTTTAAATAATCGATTTCATCATTTACAAAAATTCTTTTAAATATTTGATGATAATCAAGCAAATCAAATTATTAGTCNTCAATTAAATATTTGAACAATTTAAAATTTTTCAATCTTAAACTAATTGATAAATAATTCAGAAATCTCCATTATATTTAAATATATATATATATATATTTATTTATATTAAAAATATTTTTAATCGTAACAAAAATTTATTTAAACAATCATACCGATCTTGCCAGTTCAATCGGCTGGTTTTGACTGATTCGCTAGCAAACATTTTATTCAAGTAAACTGGACTGATTGATAAACTGATTCCCGGTCCATCCAGTCAGACTCTCCGGTCCAATCCTGTTTTCAAAATAATGGGTAAATCATGATTACTATTTTAAATACAAACGTAATATTATTTCCCCGTGCATCGCACGGGCCACGTACTAGTATTATATAAAGAGGTTGTTGGAAAAATACATTAATAGAAAGTTTGACCAAATAAATATAATATTTGACTTACTATTAATGGAAAGTTCAAAAAAAACACATGTGAATCTTTAGTAACAAAATCTAAATTCTATTTTTTTGGTAACAAATTTGGCGATTTTTATGGAAAAATTTGAATCCCTTTTTTTTCGTATCATATTTTTTTTTACCAAAATTTAAATCATATTTTTTTTTGTAACAAATTTGGAAATTCTTATGTAAAAAAATATGTCAATTATTTATGAACACAATTCTAAATACAAATTAATTTAAAAACCGTGCAAACTGGATACAAATTTAGGAAGCAAATTGTTGTATAATTCTTAATCAATTATTTCAATCTTATTGAATAATTTTATCTTTCAAAAAATTGTGTAAATTGGATAAAGCCACGTGCAATTTTTATTTTAAAATAAAACTGATATTTGGACGGGATGTACATTCAAAATTGTGTCCACATTTTTTGGTAACAAAACTGGTTCATCATTGATATTTAAAGTCACGTTATCCAATTATTTAGGAAAAATTGTGTGCAACTTTTCAAAATTTAAATACATCGATTTTTTTGGATTCTTTTGTTTTTTCTTAATCATGTTTTACCGAGATTTTAGTAAGTTCATATCATTTTTTTTTTGGTTAAGTTCATATCATTTTCTTTAGGAAAGAGATAGTTTCATAAACATTAACAATTTATTTCAATTTTTTATTAGAATTATTTTCAATTCAATTTGTTTGGTACAAAAATTGGTGCAATGTTAGGAAAATTCGGTTGCATTTTTAGGAAAAATTGATGATTTTTTTTATTTGGTTTAAAAAAAAAATTCGGATCAATCTGTTTGATTTGGTAGGAAAATCGGTTTCATTTCCAGAAGTAACTAATGATTCTTTTCAATTTTTCTTAATTGAAATTTAGAATTAGATTTAAAATAAATAATGGGTGAAAATCTCTAAAAAATTCTACTTTTTTTCTGCTTTAATTTTGTTTAATAAATAAGATTCTTTAAATTTTTTAAAATTTGTTAACTACTAACTAATAATATGCAATTTTGGATAAATTCGAACACCTGTGTAGTACTTTACGTGTCAAATAATTAAATCAATAATGTTGTACATAAGGAAGTTTTTAATAACATATAAATTTTATTTTCATGAAATTTTTAATGGTATGAAATAATTTAAATACACAAATACCTTTTAAAAAATAAATGAGTAATAAATGCTCACCGTGCATCGCACGGGATTTGTACTAGTGTATAATAAAATGTATAATAAATTATTACAAGAGATCCTTCTAGACAATGAAATTGTATAATAAATAATTATTAGATGGTTTTTTTTTCGCAACGATAGAAATTTTATAACCAAATACATAAATTTATCCAGATATAGTCAAACAACTGAGAAACACATCTATAGAGCAGAATCTAGCAAGAGGACTATGAGGTCGCCTAGAGCATGCATTAGAAACACAGATCAATACACTAACAAACACAAACTACATCTTCCACAAATGGAGAGAAGACACTCCCAAAAGTGGACAAAGACACACTCCCACAAGTGGAGAAACACGTTTCCAACAGGAAAAAAAAAATACAAAAACTAAAAAAACCTACAACACATAAAAAAGCACAAACATAGAAAGAAAAAATAAGAAAACTATGACCCTCCCCACCAACCGGAATGCACTCCGGACCATCACCAGTCGAGTCAAGAACCAGCCGACCACCCACCAGTACTGAAGCCAGTCCATGACCCATACGCAGCCAAACAAACTGACAACCTACTGAGTGGCCACCAACAAGACAACACCTGTAGACTCGCACCTAACTTTACCCCCAACACCACGTGAAGGCCGCAGTCTTGCTCGAACCGAGCTGGGAGCTGCTGTTCATGTGTGATTTTACACCATATTTATATAGTATCTAGAGCTTATTCATTTCATTATTGGTGTATAAATTGCATTATTGTGCTTTTATTCTATTCTTGTTGAAAAGGTATTACACGTGCTTGTTTTATAGATATTTCCACATATTTGTAGAGCTTTTCGCTATTGGAGGCGCATGGTGAGTACCTAGGAACCCCAAGATGATGAAAGATTGATGCACTATTGAAAAAAATAGAAGAAACGAGTGAAACAAGCAAGAAAAAGAGTGTGCAGAGCTGACACGGGCACTATGCCCGTGTCAGAGGCCGTGTCACCTCAACAGAGAGATTTCAAAGTCCAGGGACCTCACACGGGCTGCGACACGGACGGTGACACGGACATAATGGTCGTGTCGTGCGCGCAGGCTGGTTTTTATTTCTTGCCTATTTTGAAAAGAAGAAGGATTTTGGACATTATAAAAGGCATATTTACCCTATTTTTTATGGAAGAACGTGAGTAACAAGAAGAGGAGCCCTAGAACACACAAGAGAAGCAATTGGGAAGCAAAAAAAGATCAACTACGAAGGGATCAAGAAGATTGATAGATCGACGAGATTCCTAGTTTTTCTTTCTTTTTCCTTTTGAACTTTTATTATCATGTCGATTTCTAATATGTTTATGTATTTGAATTCGAACATGAGTGGCTAGATTATTTGATTCTAAGACTTGGTAGTAGATTAATATGTTGGGATTTTGGATGATTTATTTATAATTAATTGCTTTCTTTTGAACCCTATTCAAATATTTTGTTTTTATTTCATGTTTAGCACTTGATCAATGCTTTTACATGTTTGACAATATTGTTCATAATTCGAGAGATGAGTTCAATATTAGGTCTTTAATATTTGACACCTTGTTTGAATCGAGAGATTAGTAGGTCGTTGTGAAGATATTAGATGTTTTAATCTATTTGGAGTTGAATTGCATGTGTTGAGTGGAGACGCTAATATATGTGATTTAATCTACGGTTTTATCAATCTCGAGAGGGACGATAAGCTAAATATATGATCATCTTATAGGGTAGACAAAGAAAACATTTAGTTGTGATATTTTTTAAAGATCTCAACTGTTAATTGAAACCAAAGTCTTAGAATCTATCGTTCTCATATATTTTCTTACGTGTTTTCTAGCTAGTTCTTTGTTTTTGATTTATTATCTTTTGATTATATTTTCTTAGTTTAGTTAATCCATCTCATATTCGGTCGTCTAAATAAAGTTGACACTATCATAATCTAGTAATTGGTACAATAATTATTTGGTCTCTTGGGATACGACCTTGCTTGCCACATACTACGAGCGAAACCATACACTTGCGGTCGAGCTTTAAAAATATAGGCGAACAACTGCCACCAGATAACATATCCCAGGGTAAAAAGAGGAATATTGGTCCAAGCCAAATACCTGTCTCGGCCCCAGCCGCCGTCGAACAGCTACCAGAGCCAACACCTCCCGACCACCCGCCACGATCGACCGGGAGACGGCAAAGCGCCGCAACAACAGAGATTGTCCGCCCGCCGGTGATGCGCCTTCGGCCCAAGAGCAGAATTCAAGCGGTAGGGAGCGAAGTGTCGGTGGAAGAGAGGCGACGACTGAGAAAATTAACCGGCTAGGTTTTTTTTCTGATTTGGGGTAAAACAGGAGGGGAGTGAGTTCTTAAAATATCTTATTTAATTTAACATGTTATTAGATGGTTGAATCACTCAAATGTATGCTCAATAAATATGGGTTTTCGTAATGTGCAAGACAAATAAAACTGTATAATAAATTTTTGTGTTAATATTCTAGTAGTGGAAACGACCTCAACCGGTTCAAATGACCTTGAATCCACTCTCGACCGGTTCAAAGACCTGCAAAACAACGTCAAAAGTTGTCCCGACATATAAGCTCTGACGCTCAAGTCAGTGAACAGTGATGAAGAAGATGATGAACAGTATGAACTGTATATAACTTGTATATATAATTAGAGAGGGTAAAGTATAAATGAGCATACTGCT